ACTTACTTCGGGATGAACGTATATCTGACATGGACCATGCATTACATTGTATTCTTCAACTCAAACTGCGTGAGTGCTTCTTTAATCTTAAGGACTGCAGAGGACCTGTTCAGAATTTGGCTTTATTTCCAAACTGGTCATTCATAGACCTCGCAAAAGTAAAGCGTGTGATGGGAGCACTGCATTGATGATTCCGCTGGAACTTAAGAAATTGCGGGATGACGGCGTCAACATGGGTAAACTGACTGCTTCCCGTTACCCTAGTAACGGCTACGTGGCCACAATTATAACGCTGATCAGCACTAATGTTTAACTACAGAGTTAAATCTCGCATAGCAACCAAAATCATTGGACATGAAATACCCGTACAGGAAAAATGCAAGAATGTTAATCACGACATCAATTGTTTGAAAATAACGAGTTCACTATTTCTAGAGTTGAAAAAAGTACTCATTAATGATGACTTCTTCCGTAAAATTTTTTGTAATTCTTTGAAGTGAGATTTCGTTTAATACCTCTCGGTGTCGACACAACACAAAGATGCTTAAGAGTTTACTTGGTGCAATGGAAACAAAGATAAGTATTAGGTGTGAGTTACAGGGAGTAATTTTGAACAGCTAGTGCAAAACTTCCAGACCACGCAAATAACACTGTTTGTTTCAGTAAGAAAGGTATCTTTATTTACTGACTCTTCAAATTGAGCAAACATTGTTTTGATTTGGCTGCATTTCTCCTGTACTGGTCACAACGAAATTGATGTCTTTGGGTGGTTATACACACGTAGAACTTCACCAGGTTCAATCTCACGATAGGACGGGGGTCGACAAAGACTTACTGTGGGCAAGAGGTGCGAGCTTGGGTCGGGTATGTTACCTTGTAATAGAGACTATTACGTGAATGTAAAACAAGATATCAAGACAGGTTACACGATCGTGTGTCTGATTTGGTGCTTGCCGGTGACTTAACAGATCGGCCAATGGGAGAAAAATAGAAATTCTGAATCACCGAGGGAGACTTGATTTTTTTCGTGTAAGGGGACATTGATAAGGCTTGTTCACAAATCTGCCATTTTTTGGTGGCTTTCACTGCCAGATTTAACTGGTTCCCTGTACCTTCGCCACAAAGCAACACGTAGATGCTACGCACGTGCATGGTAGTGCCGATAAGCAGCCTAACCACGTGACATCATGGTTTAACACCAGCCAAATCCCAGACGCAAAAATGGTCGAGATATGAACATGCCTATTCTCTGATGCAAAACAAGGGATAATACCAAAGAAAAACTGGACTGTTTCAGATCTGAGAGACGTGGAAGGTGGTACACGGGGAGCCATTTATCCGGGCGGAAACAGGTATTTCTTTGTCCCACCCACCTCAAGCATTGCTTCCAAAAACGAACTCTGTAATAAGAATACTGATCCGTTATTATCAATGATAAGTTGATATAATTTTGATGGGAAATGGTTGACAAAAACTTCCTTTTTGATCATGATGGTCAATATTCGTTTGACATAACTAACTTGATTAGGATTGTTTGTTTCTGCATTTGGTCAAAATCCATTTCCAATAACAGACATTAAACAGTAAGTGAAGGTGTCACGTTTTGTTTGCTGTTATGCTCAGTTATTTGTAAATTAATTCATTTTATTCACTCTGGATTGTTCGGGCTATGATCGCTCTGCTTGAATTTAAAACGACCTTGCAATACAATAATTTTTCAGCACATTTTGAAATTTCACCTTTGTATTTCAACTGATCTAATTGTTAATTTTTGTTTCGCTATTTTAAGCTGTACTCTGGATTCTTTGTGGTTTTTCTATGCTAACGAACCCCATTTCTTTGGCCATTTGTTATTGTGTATGTATATGGCAAATAAACCAGCAAACAACCTCTTATCAGAAATGCTTTCAAAGAGCAAATGTAGGGGTAAACTTTGAACTTGAGAGCATGTCAATTGAACAAAGTTTTTTTTCTGATTAACATCACAGCAACAGCCCCCTCCACTACTTTGGAAGTTTAATATGTAAAGTGCACTTTTTAATATACTTAACTTCAAAGGGATTTTGAACAGTTGTCATACAACTGAAGAAGAGTATAAAGATGCACACAAAAAAGACTTAGAAAAATTCATTTCATGGATCCTTTGAAATGTAAAGTAGGCCCTAGTCCCTCAATTTCCATTTAGTGACAGTAGCAGATTATTAATAATACCTGAAGATTATTTCACACCACAGGGTTAATAGGGACCTGAGGAGCCAACATTGTTTTCTGTGAATTGCTCAGATGGTGTTAGTAAATGGGTTTATATTATAAAAAAAGACAACGTGGACAGAAAATTGTATCTGTATTCTGAGCTTATATAAGTGCTTACCTCAAATTGCAGGAAAATATTCTCTTTCACGGGCACCAGTCTGTGAGAAACGAAAAAGAAAACAACCTGATAGAAGTCACGTCTCAGTACTTTATCGTCCTGATCATTTCAATTAACCAATAGCTCAGTGTCCATGTCGGTGTCAGCCCCGGCGTGATGTTTTCTTCCCTTACTGTTCCGTTGGGAACAATTCTTTTTGTATAAAGAGGGAAACTTCGCCTAATGCACCTGCCTTTTTACTTGTGTCCCTCGAGGGTTAAAGCCTTTTTAATGCACTTTGAATGTCATCTTAACATCGTAGCAAGCGACAAGAGGGACCTTACCCTCATTAATAATCACTGTACAGATATTTAACGGTGCATAATCTTGTCGTAAGGTGTATTTACTTTCACGTACAGAATCGCTTTGGTATGCCTTTATAATTTTTACAGAAAGTCCAATAAAGACCAAAAACAGTGTTAACATAGGAGTTAACATAGGCCTGAAGCAAAAAAAAAAGACAATTTCTGTGACGATTTCAGAGAAATAATTTCGTTATACATCTCAGAAAAGCTCTTAAACGATGTTTTAGTCAAACAAGCTACCTGTCATTCTTACTTTAGCATTTCCTTGAAGCTAAGTTTGTTGTCCTTGTCGACGTCAAACAGTTTGATCTGAATAAAGAGAATTTAAATTTTCCTCAAGCATACATAGCAAAATGGAGGAATCCTCTTCACCTCGACGAACTGATAACACAGCGGATATTAGGCGGAGAAGTTTGTGGGAAATGAAATGAGTTTCTCAGATAAATCTTTTGCTGAACGATGCATCAAAAGAACCGTTTTCTTTTTCAATCGGGAAGGACACAAGTCCCGTGGCAGTATTGATCAAAACAAGTTGCTGTAAACATGAATTGCGAGACAGATTTTTACGTCAGTATTTTAATAAAACAAAAACAAGTTCCCATGTCGTGTCCCAGTTTGAGCCTTGCGCGTTTGAATAGACCTGTTTTTCACTATGCAACACTCACCAACGGCGATGGCCGCATCAGAACGGGAAATGAAGCATGAGCCTATACATGACGTCATTCACTGCGGTATCGTTGTATATACACGACAGCAAAATATGTCAGTTAAAGAGCTTTATTCTGGAATAATACATTTCCTCTTACAAAATTTTGCACAAGTGAGACCCACACACGCGTACAAGAACTTATTCCCCAAAGTGGGCTTTAGATAACATTTACTAGTATAGCAATGAATAATGTGCATTTTGATTCGCGAATCCCGAGCGGAGATCCACGGCAGCGTTGCTAATTTCAGCACAGCAAAATCTCCAAGTACAGTCGGCTTACCATGGCTTCGGTGTACGTCTGCAGCTTTTCGTCGCTTAGTTCCACCTTGCTAAGGTCCCTTAAAAAGTTCTGTCGATTGAAGCACCCCAAATAGCATTGGCATAATGCATTCGTTGCATGATACGAAAGATAAAGAAATCTGCCGTAGTGTATACCACGCACCTTAACTGAGTGTACGGATAAAACAACGCATGCGTACTTCATGCAGTTGGACTTAAAACACGTTGGCAAAGAATACTGAAACGGCACAATAGACTGTAACTTTCAGTCATATCTCAACTTCGATGATTCTCCTACCTTTAGTTCAGACTTGTCAATAAAGCCGTCTCGGTCCGCATCGTACTGTAACCAGATCTGTTCATGGAAATTGAATCAATCAGAACACCTTAAAATTTCAGTTTCATCACCATTCTAAAATTAATTTAACCTACTTTTTGAACTATTGCATGAGTCTTGTGTGTAAAATCGAATATCTTTTCCTTTTGTTCGGATTAAGTATGTTTGAGAGTGTTTCAAATTTTGCTTAGTTGCAGATGTTCCTTTGGGAAGGCATTTAACAGCGATGCCACCGATTAATTTTTCCAAACACTCTTACAGAGAATCAAATAATCCGTTATTCTGCTTATATGTCCACTGTGACAGATCCTTGTTTGGACATAATGTCGTACAAGAGATGCCCCAAAAATTCCAGGTGTCATTAGTTTGTCTATCAACGACGTGAGATATGTGAAACTACCGCGCATCATCAGAAACATCCTGGACCTCACAGAGATATTTTCTTTCCCTTGTGATGCACTGTACTATGTTGTACCTGGCTGACCGTACGATGATTAAGTTGGTTCCTGCTGCAGTGTGGTGTAAATCAAGCGTACTTTTGAACAAGCTTCATTTGCTGCGGTGCTATTGGGCAGAAAGCAACTCAAAGGAGACAAACGATAAACGACTGTTCATAGTTTGAATATTATCTCGTTCACGTAGCCAGCGGTTTGTTCACCTGTTGGAATATAGCATTCTCGTCAAGAGGGCACAGGTAGGATATCAGTCGATTTGGGAATATTTTTGTCATGAACCAGCCAAAGCTTTTATCATCTTTCTTCACCAGTTCGGTTTTACATTTATGACCTGTAGCCATCGCCCCAATTTTGCTATTTTAGCGTCCACATTTTGCTTCTAAACTTGTACAGCCTGTAGTTGCTCTCTGAAACTGCACGATATCTTAGCTACGCTTCTGCGACTGAGAAGAATGCTTTTGAATTGCAATCAATTGCAATTTGAATTGCCGCTCCGGCTCTCCAATAGATCCGCAAAGCCCAACTGTAAATACACTAAATTTTTGTCTCTTGAGTTCCAGCTGAAAACTATGCACCAATCTACAGATAATTATCATGAATCAGATCACGCCCTTAGGTCCAGTGGCGTCAGCGTCCAATTTTCACACTGCACTCTGAGGCCTCGTATTCCTTTCTAGACACATGTTGTTTTCAGCATACCAATGAAGACATGCGGCTGTTTATCTTCTGCAGTTTTTGAACGGGCTACTAAAAGCGATAAGGAGCGTTAAGGAAAACGTACTTTCTCTGATTTTATCTTTTCGAATAAATATGGAAGCAACCAAATCGAACACAGTGTCATTTGTCTTCAGAGCTCAACTATAACAAGCTAAGAAGCGCTTTATTCTGTTCATGCCAAGATGCGAATTCTGAATGTAGATTGCGTCATTCGAAGAAAACAGACAAAACGAGGGGAGCTCTCGCCCTGTGATCGTAGTGGATAAGCCCTTGTGCATACCAAACAATGGCTAAAAACAATAGCATTGTTGGGCATGCACGAGGGTTTATCCACTACGAACACCATACGATGCACGATAAAAGGAACACCCTCTTTTGTGTCTCCTTTTGTGTTGATGGAATCTTTGGAATTCCTTTCAGATTTTTGGGGGTGCAGTAAGCACAATAGCCTTAGGGTATACAGCTTGTGCAAATCGTGCAGGGTATCATGAAAACAGGACGAGGGTTCCCCTCGTTTTCTCCGTTTTCTCCAAATGACGCAATCTACATTCAGAATTCCCATCTTGGCATGAACAGAAAAAAGGCCCTTTTTAACTTGTTATAGTTTACCTCTGAAGACAAATGACACCGCGTTCAATTTGGATGCTTCCGTATTTATTTGAACAGATAAAAGCAGAGAAAACATGTTTTCCTTTAAGGTGCTCTTTAAGCAGATCAGGTGGCCCACCGAACCAAGCGCCAACACCAAAGTTTATCGCTCCCCACCTCAGCCAAGATGTCTGCAACATTGACAGTGTTGAAACTGCTTAGCTCGAACCATTGTGGTTTATCTACAGAAGTTACAAATTTCAATGAACGTGAATGTCACGATCTCTCCAGTAAGGCCGGATTTCATAGAAAAGCGTGTGATCTTTCATTTATTTGCTTAAAGCCTGTGCTCTATACAAAAGCAGATTACAAGGCAAAAATAATACAATTTATTCATTTCATGAAGCGCAGTGCCTTTTTATCTACGTCAGAAACATAGTGGACCTAATATTAAACTTGGCTCTACATAACTGTCGTTATTCTATCTCTAGTACTGTTTGGTGCCCGAATAGAAACCATCTTGATTGAAATTTAATCCCGACTCTAACAACCGAGAACAGGGCGCACATAAAACAGCCTTCTATAGATTTGAGCTTAGCCCTTGGACGGCACGATACGCATCGCCAGCGGCCGAATCTGCTTAACGGATTGTGACACGTGTCGCGGCGGCAAAGCGCCACTTCCCGCCGAATTTGTTGCTGGCACGGCAGCACGGTGTAGGCAGCTGACCGCTGTCATGGAGATTTAGTCCCCCCCCCCAACTTCGACGTATGTGTTCGAGAATTTTTGCTTAGAGAATTTTGTGCACTTGGTGTTTGGTTTTTCTCCGATATTTGTCTGGTAACACTGAACACCCACTGCCCAATGGGTATTGCAGAATAAAAAAAAACCCACAAGCTTACTCGAGTGGGACTCGAACAAGCGAGGATTCAACCGTTTGGCTTCACACATCATCAGCCTATTAAGATCACACTGGATGCTGATGTGTATAAACTTTTCATTCTAACTCTGCAACCACCTAAAAACCATCTTCGAACAAGAAAATAATCCTCTGACTCAGTTTATCGGATTTCCAAAGTTCGAGCTACTTTTTTGCGTCGACTAATTTTTTTTCTTCGCCAGCGCAGATTTTGACTCAACTGATGTAATGAGCCGATCTTGTCCCGCGATAAATGCATCAGTGAAAGTGTGATCGGGGAGTAATTCTCAGTATACAAGAAACGGCTAAAAAAAACCCGGATGAAACTGACAACGCGTATACACGGGCAAAGTGCGATTTATTCAGTGGGTTAAGTGGTTCTTGGTGATTGTATGCTCTGTCAAATATGATTAGTTGTCTTGACAACTCGTCTAAGTCAACATCCAGACCGACCAAGCGATTGTGTGTGGGTTTGGTATGACATTTCGATCTACGGACACTTCGAGGTCTGACATCCCCGATGTCAATATTCGGATTTATTGATTTGAAATTGTGGTCTCAGGTAAATCTCATACCTGTTACATGTATTTTGAAAGTATGTTCAGAAAAATGGGTTGGCTTTTTTTGACGGGGTTGTGTACATTATCTTGTGACTCATCTCATGGAGTCAGTGTTAAACACCTTTAGAGGGTTGTCAGTTTGCTGCAAATTCCACACGCAGATCTTTATTTGTTAATATCACTTAGTCTAGCACCCAATGGATCATTTGAGTTCACATGGTTGTCAATCGTTTTAGAGCCTCCAACTCTCAAGCGACTCAGCAACTCAGTCTAGTCAGGTCACATTACAAGTTCTTTCTTTTACTTCATTAAGGATATGACAAGCATCTGAAATAGAATGAACGAAGCAATTATTCCATGCTGTGTGCCAGAAAGTCGTAAATTGTTAACCTTCTCATTACAATCATTAAAATAATGATTCGTCTCGACTCTAGTCACTGCGAGCAAATAACTCGACTCTAGCCCTTCATCAGATTCTGAAAACCCAACTCGAGAGAAAGTTAGTGCGACTCGAATCCCTCTGAAGGCAAACTTCTTTGTTGCGAACAAATATTTGCAATGACTTACAGTATATCACCGAGAGTAACATGTGATGTGACCACATGCAGAAACCCAGAGGTAAACCTTTTAAAAATGCCAAAATGTGACTCGAACTAAATACTTGACTCGACTCTTTTTCTAATGACTCGACTTGAGTCACTACATTACAATAACTCGACTCGAATCGAGTCACAAAACTAGTCACTCGTTCCAACTCTGTTAATCTTGACAATACTGCAATCATAATTATCCTTATTTACTTTCATTAAATTTTCATATAGTCCTTTTATAACACTGACATTTTATCCCAACTTGTAATTCACACCTATTTATCCTACAAGTTACGTGTAAAGAGGGGTCCTTACCCTCCGGCTACAATTGTCTGCGGGCGAGGCTTGATATATGCTGGTTGGAAAAAACGTGTTGAGCAGGCCTGGACATCAATTACGCTATCGGTAGTCGACCAGCTGACGTGGCAATGTCTCGCGGATATCCGTCTCATTTCCGCGGCCATTTCCATTCAGCCGTGCAGCCAAGATCCGAAATACCGACAAGGATTGGTTGGGGAGATGAGAGTTGGAGTTGAAGAGGAAAGGAGGTCAGGTGTGTGGCTATCAGCCCCGAGGTGTCCAGGTGCGAATCTTGGCGCGAGGAAGCGAGATGCGACTGCAAGAATCGGCATTTCATCGGGCAGGACTGGGCAGCCGCTGAGCCCACAATGATTGAAGGTCGAAAGATGCTCACACGACCAAGTGACATTGGGAACTGTGCACTACAGCTCCCAAGCTGCTCGACATATGGTCAAAGCTATTCAAATTTGAAAGTGTCCCCGTAAATGCTTACATAAATACTGCCTCCGAGATTAGTTGGCTCGGATGTGTCCCCTTTTTAGAGGATCCTTTACGGATCTTGACGTTCCGATGCAATTTATTACGATGAATACAAAACGGGGACTACACCGACGACGTTGACAAATAGATATGCCAAATATATCGACTACCGGTTACCCAACTCCGGTGAGCTCGGTAATCGAGTGGGTTAGACGTCTGCACTAGTAAGCAGAGACTCGTACGTAGGTTCGAGTCCCACCCTTGTAAGCTTGTGATTTGTTTCCAAGCCTTCGAAAAACACTGAGTATCTGGTTCGTAATTATGACGTCACTTCATTCAAACCACGTCCGCTGCACATGCACTGCACATAGAGTTACATACATTGATCGCCGTTTACATGGAACCATGGAACCGGAAGTTAACGCTCAACTTCAGCGATCGTCCAATGGGAGCCTGCTAATCGTGGCGCGTCCGCCATCGTGAAGGAGTCAGGTACGAACCGGATAGAGGATTTTCAATCACATGATTTTTGACGGTCAGCGTTCAATTTACATGGATGTGCGGGGAAACGCGCGCGCCTTCGAAGTCTCTCAACATTCTTGCGTACACGAACTGCCAATAGAAATACATCGGTTCGAAAAATGCACGCGCATCCACAGACACGGTGCTTCCTGAAATGACTCTGCCTGTCGTGCTACGTCACGTGAAAAACCTCTATAGACGAATCCGTCGAACAGGATGACGCTAGTTGTTTGTGGTAGCCTCCTCCAAAAGGGCGCTAGTCATTGATATTTTTTGTATAAAGACACAGTCAGTGTGAAAGGGATTATGCAACCTTTGTTGACTTTTTAAGTACGTGACGGCATATACACCATTCTCTTATTTAATGTGCCTGATGACTGCACGTAAGTATAAGCAGCACTGAAATAAATGTAAAAAAAACAAACCGAAGCAACAAAATATTTCTGGATATCGATCCGTTAAGTGGCTTTAAGGATAAGAGAGAAAGGCATGTTACGTACGTCATAAAACTCCTTGCTGGTCCGGGGCGCTTCCTTGGAACGGAAAAGAAGCAGGAAGTTCTGCTCAGGCTTCATAATCTCTGCCAACTGTCAAAGACAAACCAAAGAATAGGTTATTACATGCTGTGTTGTATATTGTATTATATGTTATTTCCTTATTTCTTATATTCTTTGCAGATGTACAAATGGAAAATGATCGATATCAACACCCCTAAATATTAGAGGGACTGCACTTCGTGTTTTTTCAGTGGTTTCAGCCGGGAACTATTACCGAATACCAGCTGCAAGGGGAATATTCGCCTCCTTACGAAGGAATATCAAGAGGTACTACACTTTTGAAAAATATATGCTGTTAGTAAATGGTTGTTTTCAAAGTTCAACCAAAATATAGGAATGATTTTCTGTACTCGATTAGCAAATCAGCTTATACCAAAGTACATACAAGTAATATCATTAAAAAAAGACACACAGAGAACAACACTATCTAATGTGCATTGCAGCAATGCTGGTTCATCCCGAAGAAAAGATTATATAACGATTTCCTTGTGTTAATAAATACAGGTACTTTGTAACGGTGGTAACTAATATAACATAAGAGAATACCAGCGATGATGATTAACAATTGATTGATCATTGATTTATTAGTGAAGAATTGATAAATGATTATTATCAATTACCGAGCTTCACGTACTTTGCATTTCTCTTTTTCAAATACGCAACTTATGGGACTTAAGCTTCAGCTTACAGGGCTCCAAGTGTCGACAGTTATTGTAAGCACCCCTTCGACCTTATCAATTTGAACACGCATACTTATGAACAAAGATTCCGTTGCAGCCCAATTGTGAAGCCACTCGAAATAAGAAAAGGTTATTATCTTCTGCCCACACGGCCTTGCAGCTTAACAGTGGTTTGATAATGTATTGGTGTTTTCACTACCCCCTACGTGCCTGACAACAGCGTGAGATTGCTTGATATGTTTTAGTTTAGGATCACCCATTTCCAGTTTCAAAGCCGTGCCGTTTTTTAACATTAGCCGTCGCCGTGTGCTACCTCCATCTCAGCGTTTCCGTAAGACACGACGGGCTGGGTGTTCATTCAGCTGACCGCGTGCGAGAAAGGTGCGCACTTTGGCAGTTGGCCCTGGGACCTCATAATGCATACTTCATGAGAGGAGGCGCAAAGGCGCCACTGCTTAATGCCGACGACTAGCGTAACGTGACAAAGCGCGAATAAGGCGCCAAATGGGTGGAGATAAAACCGGCTGTATATATCATGAGGGGAAGTCTAACATAAATTCCAAGAAACCATGCCGTTTGGTAACCGGGGCAGCGCTCACGTCATTAATACAAGACGCAGTTAGGCTAACCATACCATTTCGCCCGATTCAGACGCTATTAAAACAAGAGGACCATTCGATATCAGTTGATCTACATATCGATATGTACTTGGCCGGTCATAAACGTGCGTGTAAGACCGGCTCTGGAAAAGGGACGCGACTAATGCCCTAGCCGCAGGCAAAGGCATTATCAGCGTTCAAGACCGACCAAGCACATAATTTATTCCCGTTCTGGCCGTTTTTGAGTCAAAAGAAGTCACTATGCGGTAAATTTCCAAGGATTCGTTTTGAAGAATTTTACTTTCATTTCTCCGAACACCCCTTCCATATTATGGTACATTCCTTTTGCAAATTGTCCAGGAGAAATCCTATAAATTATATGCATTTGGCGCGCGCGTGGCGAGTTCTGCGTACCGTAGCGAAAATAGACTCTTGACCAATAGGAATGGATTAAACTGTCTCGTATCTCAGATGCCAGCGCCCTTTTACGCAGCGGGCATTATCAAATGTTAATACACGGTCACATTGTGCCTTGTTGATTGTACATCAATATTTCATGCACAGTTATTTAGCATCTATTCATTAGCATTGGTAAGACATCATGGCACCGGTCATGCTGTTGCCTTTGCAAAGATGTCAGTCCTATATGCAGTCCAACATTTTTCAATTTGATGCTTGATTAGTCTCGTCCGTAAAAAACAGATTTTCAATTTCTGGCGACGATGTAAATTGTATGCACGTGGCCTATTGAGCCACGATACACCTTTACTGGGCCAAGTGCATACACACCTCGGGGTAGAATGCTGCGAAAAAAATTATATCGGGAAAAGTGTTCGCAGCATTGTACCTTTGGTGTGTTTCTTCCTATAGCATATGCTACGGATAAGTATTAATTCAGATTTTCGATCTTGAATTTCTTGACATGCAGTGAACAGTTGTCCCATTTAAATCGGTGGGTTGTTTTGCACGTGACTGGGTTGCTTTAATATCCTCCGGCCGGATAAATTTTTGAATCATTTATGCACTAACGAGTACCAGATGTTGTATAACATCAACAGAGCAATGCCAGCAGAGCATCTTTTGCCATGAAATCTGCACCATCTACTGCCCAATCTGACAGCCAAAATTAGGCTGTGCCCGAATGGCTTGGCTGCGGCTAGAAATCACACACGAGTCTATGGTTGTGGCCGTAGCCAGTTTCCATAAAGTTGTGTGCAATTTCAAGCCACAGCCACGTGATTTGGACACGGCCTTAAGATGCCATTATATATTATTATATACAAATGGTGTGCGCTCAAGTTTTACGCGTCCTGGTCCAACTGATTACTATTTGCACCAGTACCACTGTGAACAATGTATGTCATGTAATGTTCATCATCATTTCCACTTGTCCACAAAAAAATTAAACATTAAAAAATGACCCCTCTCCCCGGAAAAGTTCCCAGATCCGCCCCTGGTATATATACACCAGATAAAAAGCCAGGACGATTTGAAAGACTTTTGCAATCTCAAATGACGGTGAACTCAACAATGTGTGGTAGAGTGGAAACATGAGAGGCTCAACTCTGTCTGAATCTCTCCGCAGTTTCCCCGATACTCTGGCAAGGCCATGGGAGGAAACCCTATAGAGTAAGGGTTGTTGATTTTATTACGAGCAAAATCGTTGGACTCTAAAACTGTCAAATATTTTTAGTGTGCGCAATAACATGTCAGCTCCTATTTCATGATTTCTGGGATTGTTAAGTGGCACGATTTTTCAGTATATTATCCAGGGTGTACCTGTACTGTTTAAGCACGCGCATTAATCAGAAACCGTGTTGCCAATCGGGAACACCTGTTTCACCTTTCAAATTAATGAATGTAGTTTTACATGCTGGGGTTGCTTGGGACTACATTTATCTGTCTTCAAATGGCACATGCGTCCCCCAGGCACACTCAAAATAGTAAATGCAAAGGCACCGCCTACCGGGTTTTTAATTACTGCACATGGGCTTTTCGCATGAAGGTAATCTGGGTATGTAATTTGGTAAGGAATCAGAGAAAGAAAACCTCTCATACCTGCAAATGGAGTCTTTAGTTATGCTGCATTTTAGAGTCCTTAAATAGTTTTGTTGCATATTTTGGGGTAATTTGCCTGGTTTGTCGCTGGCAGGCCCGTTTGCTGTTTGACTACTCAAATGGGGAGATCTGAGTGACATCTCTTTCGCTATATGCAATGCGCATCCATAACATCACAACCTTTGAAAGAATAAAACTAAACAGAAAATGTATGCATTTTTTTTCACAGAGTAGGCCCATCATGTCACCAGTCTGTTTGCTTGAACGCATTGTATCGTTAAATAGGGTGATGAGCACCCATGTATGCACATTAAGGATATACGAAGCAACAGTTATGATGATGTACGATATAAGGTTGTAATAATATCACTTAACTTGACGCTGGACTATCCATTAAATCAACTAATGAATTCAGAGTTCGAAAGAAAATCTATTGAAGAGGATCGATGACTCTGTACATCAATTCTTTTCTTTATTCGAAGATCTGCAGAATGCATCCCTCATCCATGTTATTCCTAAAGGGTTAAAGTTAATCACTGACTATCCCACTCTGGTAAGATGTAAGTTTTTATGAATTCAATTCAAACATTTCTGGTTAAGAAATGAAATTAATCGACTTAAGTTAACATTTCAAGAAGGCTGGGAAGATATTGACAGCTTGTATTGCAAAGTTGTACACGTCAATGTATGGAAACCGCATACAACTTCAACAGGACACTTCCCCTCGCCTTTTCATCTCTCCCTCAAGCAGGCTTTATCTTGTCTCATCTTTACTTATCTTTTTTTTTTCTTTTCCAAGTTTCTTCCAACTCCTGGCACGGGGAGATTGCCCATAAGCATGCACAGAGTACACAAACAGGAAACCGCTTCTCTCCCGCGGACCCACAGAGGGGGAAATGGAATTATAAGGAACTGGAAATTGCTGGGTAGCCAACCTCACGCCCAATATGCATGGAACTGCACTCCCCCAGTCACGATTCGGCGATAGAGAGAGGCCGTTTGTCAGTTCACGAGTTAAATGCTCATTCGCCAGGAGCAGAGCTAGAGCTTGTCTGTCCGTGGCTGTTCCATGCACTACCGTCTCCAAAACAAACGTGTAATATGTTCAGGCGTGAAAACCGGAACCGCTTGCTCGCATCGGTGCTTTGTGTCACCGAGAAACAGAACACTAATGTGGCCGTATCAGATTGCGGTGGTTTTTGAGGTGTAGGGTAACTCTTTCAAGCGGAAGTACTGGCGATGAATAATTCAAAACAGCAAAATGTTCCAAATTACCAAAACGTTGTGGAAGATGTTGAAACAAAAAATTGAATCGAGGACATGAAAAAATGGTGTCTGTAACTGTTCAGCTGAAGTGGGTCAGTATACGACGTTAGCAAGATGAAATCAATACCGTATCAGCATTGTGGCTCTTTATAGCTTGATGAAACCACTGCTACACTAACATAAAAAAGAGTAATTTGATAATCTCACACAGGTTTGCCTTCAACCACTCGAAATGCGATATAGCGCTCAGTTGCTCTCTCGCGGGCAGGCTGGAGATATCAAGCCAGCCCATGTTGTGGCATGCCGTCATTGCTTTATTATAAAAAACAAAAGCTTCAGATTGTCATGTCTCGTTGAAAATGGAAATTTGTTACATATAGGGGCCTACCTCTCAACCAAGGCAAACCAGGTGGTTGCAATCTGTCCAAAAATTATACTTGCCACCGGCAATTCATCCGGTTGAACGGCGAACTGTATAGGAGAACGCTCTAGTGTTTGCCCAGTCCTAACGCGTTCGACCCCCTTGAACAGGGGCACGTGCATGACGTGTATACGTACATAAATTAAATTCTTGCAATGACTACAGCCGAATTAAGCCTTATACTCGTGCGGGCTAAATAATGTACTGATTCCACAAGATCATTATGCGTGAACGTCCCCGTGAAAGTTGTTCGACTTTTTTCATGGGAGCTATTAGCCCATGGCTGAAGTTAAGAGTTGATTCTATGAGAATAACTATGACCAAATCGACAATAACGGTCACGAGTTTTACAGTCGAAGATGTCCGGGTACATACTTGAAAATTATGTTCGATAGTCAACTGTAAAGGGTTTATGATAATTCAGAAAGCGATATGAAATTTTAACTTTTCAATTGAGTAGATTCCATTTGGCTACAAAAGACGCCAGTGATATCAGTCACGTCTCTTCCAGATTGACGGCATGCGCCATTTCTTTCGGCCGAGCCTTCACCTTGTAGCAATCCAAAGATGACGCCGCTCTTTTCACATTTATCCGGTCTTGGTCGCACGCGCTTTATGCTTGAGAAGCAACCAAATATCTGAATTCAACGTATTATTTTCTAATCCTTATATAAGTGCAGGGTTGCATAAACTGGGCCAGGGGAAGAGGTTTTCATCGAACTGATGAAATAAAGTTGAACTGACTTTCCTGCGCCCAGTCCTTAAAAATTACAAAACGTGAATAGCGGTTATTGAAATCCAACGACACATGAATGTGGTCTGTTGGCTTGCGAAAACCATTCACCAATAATTAACCAGAACCAGGCTACCGTTTGCTGAGTCAGGTAAGATTTATGGTGAGAAAGCAAGATGGTTGACATGGTAATATCGACAGAACCAAACAGTAGCCGTTGGTTCTTCATAATGATTAATGTGTGAGCCGTACCATCTGTATGCACTTGAGATTGAAATGTGATAACGAAACTTTTCTGGAATCATACACTGTATATTGGCTTTTTTGAAAACTGAAATGAAAATACTTGGTAAAAGGATTGGGATCTAGCGTAACGGAAATTAAGAGGAAATTAATCTAGAGGTGTATTTGCACTCTTTAAAAATGGCACATCGAAAAATTTCATTTTGTCAGTAAATGTATAGATTGAGTCTGTACGCAGGAAGCGAAACCCTTCAAATTCATAATCCTTTCGATACGTAAGCTGTGATCGGAAGTGTTGAATTTCATTTGGAAAATTGTGGGTAGCCACTTCTGCACCACACACTAGGCGCAGGTTGGCACACTGACACTTTCCAAACCTCTCGGCTATACCCCCACTTTCGTTGGATTCCCACTAAGTCCTACAAGTGGATTGGATTTCCAATTTCGGTCAGATGCCTTGGGTTTCCACGTGTAATGCCGCGATTTTTCGACCACCGCTCATATAGTATAATAATTGAGCAGGGTGAGGTAAAGACGAGCGAGCGCATTTTATTGTGTGTGTTCTGGGGCAAACAAGTGCGGCAAACGAATTTTTAATTTTTTTTCAATGCAACGGAATTTCAGTGGGAGAAAATGCGCCGCGGCTATAGCAGAGGTTTGTGTTTAAACAAATATCACATTAAAGGTCTATTGATTTATGTAAATTTATTGTAAATTTTTATCTACCCAAGCCAAACCAATAACTTATGTGGGCCTCTTACATTAGTAGACATATTATTAGCTGACGAGCTGGACGCGCTTACTTACCAAGGCTTAACGGCCACCACATGTCCTACCTAAATTGGTATAGTTTTAGCCTGGAAAATTATAATAGATGTGCAATGAAGCGCACCGACCATTATGCAAAGCTATAATGACTATTCGTAACGCATGGCCGGCTCAGGGCGACTCTCCTCACATCTTTATTAATGGTATACTACAATGGCCCCTGGCAAAGTGCATCAAATATTAAAGTTACTTAATGATGTCGTTACGGCACCTTTACCCCATAGGATCAAGAGCTGACCTCGAGAATACATGAATGCTTTAAGACAACAAGAAACGTGCGGGGAATACTCTTTGGCTAGAATTGCGTTGATTACAGTAAAGACATTGATCTTACGAAAATATCGGGCGGCAAAAACGAGTCCATCCAACTTTCTCCCGAATTTTATTTCGCTGAAGCCTCTGCGACCATCATTCCACGATATAATATATTTACATTAAGACACCAAAACAAATTGAGCGATAAATTAATGGTAAATTTTATTTTATCGACACTAACCATGCACCAAACCCAAACATAACAATGGGGCCCTCATTGTTATGTTGTTTCATACATAGAAATCCAGTTCCCTTGGAAACAGAGTAATTAACTTGCCATTTGCCGGGCAGTATAAAGACGTCCTCTAAGAAATACTTCAAGAAATACTTCTTGCATACTATCGATCGTGGTAGCACAGTATCGCCTTTTGATGTCATCTGTCCATTACACCACATAGCGCGCAGTCCTTTATAATGTCGCGGCGTAATAAGACCTTTGGTAGCGTGTTATTAAAATAGATAAGTAATGGCTTATCCACTTGAGAGACAAAGGCAAGGATATCTGCCGAGGAGCGCTGCCACTTCCTCTCAGAAGATGCCTAATTGGATTTTAAATTAAAATTGAAGATGGAAGCTAATGCCGATGGCACGACCGTGGCTGTCTGCTTAAATGGGTCTTTACGGTAGGACTGTGAACATGCAGGGAAGAAGAAACTAGTTGGACCAGTCTATACCTCAAATTTTTAGCAGCAAGGCAGAATAATTATGACTTTGGGAGAGAAGTGGAATAGAAGCAAATCTTTACTCCATTCTTCCATTATACTGTGACCGATGTGTAATGAAATATTCCATTGCATGTTTCCATCGAGTCCTCTGACCGTTTGTACCGCAATACGCCGCATTACGTTTCCTATGCAGTCGAAATTTAAAGAATGGTCATCGGTTTGATATTCAACTATGTTTTAGAGGGCACTCGGACATCATGCATTTAATGTGGACTGGCAACCCAATACGCACTTTAATGACACCCTTCCTGAATCCATTGCAAAATGGAACCGTAGCCTCCTTGGGATAACACGCCGCCGAGTCTGGGGCGTCAGAATGCATTTACACTGCTCCCTTAAATAGACTACGGTATCCATTGCGAGGAGTGTGCACCAAGGACGACATTTGGTTTGATTTTTCTTCCCACTACTTCATTTTGATGTCGTGTAGCCCCGTACATAATGCTCTCTGTGAGACATTTGTGATCGTCACTTGGCATTCATAAGTGCTGATGTGAATAATCTAGTGGATTTAAATATCGGTGTCAGTTTGTTGAAAAGCAGAGAACATGGAAAAAGTGAAGACAGCAAGCTAGTTACCTTGTGCATTCCTTATACAATTCTACAATTAATTCCTTATTTGGCTCACCCCAATATCAGGAAATGAAAGCCAAAAAAGAATTGAAGGGGTTTTTAAGTAAGGATTTTGCGCGAATGCAATGCGATCCATGCATGCGGTTCAGTTTAACGTTTACCGTTGCTTCTCCAACGAAGGTATAAAGTAAAGTTAAATAATTTTGGCACCGCAAAAACTAAAGTTTAAGTTGTGCTAAATTAACACCTTCAGTATCACTATAGCACAAAAACTAAACAAGTCAGTCTATATGCAAACCGAGGGTGTTAAATTTACACCACGGTTTTGCAATGTGCGAAAGTCAAGTATGTATAGTTGTGTTTATATTGTATATGATTGATATTAATGATCATAAATACGACATTTGTGGCTGCTGTATAGGATTATTCACTGTGGTCTTGTTTTATCTTGAGGTGGCAGATATTAAGATAACCCAATTCCTCTTCCAACTCACCTCCATCATCTCAATCCGATTGTCGTTGTTCTCGTCGTATATCTTCATGTATGTGGCGATGGCTTTTTGCAGGCACTCGTCGGACTCCTGCTGGTTCAATGTAGAACAAATAAGCTGAGTTAAGTTTAAAATGTTACTGTGCTTGGACTAAGTACAAGTGGCACTCGAAATATTACTGTTTGCTATCAAGTCTATCATCCACTGCACCCTCGAGTTGCATGTCTCAAGTCTGTCTGGGTGCTATGTGAGTCTTCCCTGCTGCCGTATGTTAATTGACTCAGGTTAATTCGACTCACGGCGGCTGAGAACTCAGACTCAACTTTCATGACTCAGGTATAACACTGGGTGCTCCTGACCTTTAAGTCATGGAAAGGTAACTATTCAGTGATGAAGATTTTTTTCTTTAATTTGTATTAAGTTTCCGATTTCCGTGAGAGATAATATTCATCTCTTGCATAACCAAGAAGTAGATATAGAGGCCCTATAATTATCAGCCGTCCCAGTTGCTGGAATTCCGAAACAAACCAATAACTTCAACGTTGTTTGTCAAAGGGCACTGCCCTTATCTACCCTCAGGAGCAAACAACGCTTTTTCTTCAATTGTTTATCTCCCTGGCAGCCAGAACACGGTTAGAAGATCAAATTGCACTTTTGAGACAAAGTTTCAAGATGCATTAAATGGTTGACGTAGCAACGACTTCATCAGTCACATGATGTAATAAAGTATATTATCCCTTCTGCACGCCTGTTTCAAATCCTGCGTTCTGACTGTCACCTATATCGGAAATGTCAAACTACGTTTGACATTTTGAGCCTGAGGAATGACAGCTTTCATGTTTACAACATCTCATGTTTAGTGCCCGGCGTTAACATTTGTCGATAAAAAGAAAATTAACCCGTGTTGACATCTACATCCGACCATCAAGAGTTTTGACCGTCGTGACATAGCAAGCTACAAGAGTCGGGCTATAGAGGGTTTGCATGGCTGCCATCTTGCAGGCCAGTGCTTTTGGGCATTCACAAAGAAGGGTTTTGGAACAAAAGAACTGCCCTGCTAGATGGTAAGCACGCAAAGCCTCTGCACCTGCTGTAGACAATGCCAGGAAAATAGTTGTTTGACAATATTGAGGCTTTTTGACCATTGCAATGACTCCTAACCAAAAGGACTGTCAAACGTGGCCCATTTATACCACGAATTGAACATTTAAGACAGTGGCTCGAGTTCAGTTGAGTAGGTTAACCTTTGGGTTTCGAGTCGCCAAAAATTGTGACTCATCGTTAGACTAAATTAAGTCAGTTCAACTGATAATGTGCATAATGCGGGCTAGAATCATGGAGCTTACTTCTGAAGCGGAACAAAAGATTTATCAAGAGTAAAAATCAACTGCGTCGTTCAAAAGCGTCCCCGGAGAAAGTAGTTAATTAGCCATGGCTGTTTTCTAAAAGTATAAATAAATTCACTGAAGTTTTGACCCCAGCTACCACCCATTTTCACGGCTGGTCCTTATTGCATGTTAAACACGCTACACACTTTCGGTTTCCCGCCAAATTTTCCAACGGTTCTTTACAATTTACGTCAGTGCGCACACCTCTGGGCATGCCAGATAGAGTGCTCGTGCTGCCACATAAGCAACATTGATTTTTTTTGTGACCAATTTCCGGACCACGTATGAGGCTGCATAACAGAACGTTGCAAACGAGCAAACGATTTTGTTGACGACCAATTTTGCTCCGGTCAACTTTATTTTGTCCGAATTCAGGAAACGTTACTGAAGGGCCAACCGTATGTGAGACATTTGAAGCAAGATATGGGACGGAGAGCCCCCCCCCCCCACACACACACACACACCTTTGTGTCGTTATTGCTTGATCGAAATCTCAGGAATTCTGTTCACACATCTTGGGGGATGTGTTAGGTATAACATTAGTCTACAGTGATGTGTATAGGGATTTGAAATTTGCTGGGTGTAATAACGCAGTAATGGATACCCCAACGGTAGTGTTCCGCTTATGTCAATGATCGTGACAGTAAATGGCTAAACCACGTAGTCGGCCGCTGGAATGCAATGGAAGTATAGCTTTTGGGGCTTTGTCAATTGATGCCCGAGCTTTATCAGCGTCCATTCTTCTGGGCCTGTAATGTTTCTTCCCGTTCATAAATACCTTTTTCGTAAAAGAGCCAAAATAAGTCAATATATGATGGATTTCCATAGACTTTGTTTTAGATTTTACTTTCTTTTTCCCGGATACCCCTGTCCGTTTTATTGTGTATTCCTTGTGAAAATTGTCCAAAAGAATCTCCTCATACGGTCTTGGCGCGCGCATGGCGAGCCGTGTGCACGCAGACTTGACCAATCACAATCGATTAAACTGTCTGGTATCCAGGTGCCAGCGCGTGATTTACGCAGCTGGCATTACCATTATCTCTCATCAGTGGGCATTATCAAATGTTAATACACCGTCAAGCTGCACGTTGTTGAATAGGGAGATTGAATGAGGTATTTATGAATAAAGAATTATACGGCTGATTATGCTGAAATAACAATGTGGTCCTATTTTGAGGCTATAAAGACGACTGTAATCTGGGCTTCACCAAGAGATCGTACCAATCCTGAGAAACCTCACATTCTAGGAGGGTCTCATTGAAGTATGCACGCATTTTCATTTAGTTGTTCTTGCCGCTGCTTTATGGTTGGCAATCAATCGCTTTTTCAGCCCCTGAAGGCAAACAACAGCTGTCCCCAACTAATCCCACACCCTAAAACGGTCTCAGAAGTTGCTGCCTGCCTGGCAGTGGTCAGTGGTGGGGGGTGTTATGGGCTGGGTTTGTGAGGAGGGTGGTGGGACTTAGATTTCAACAGGTATTTTTATTTGCAAATTAGCGATAAACCAACATTTAAATTGCCAGAGTGCTCCAGTTTGAAATATGCGTGCCAACTTGCCAAGGGAACGTGCATTCCACCTTTTCGAGCTATTGGACTGGCACTGTGTCCGCCAAATGAGGTTACATACGCGTTACGTACAAAGGACTGTTCAAAGCAAGGAATAAAGGAATAAAGGAATAAAAATATTAGGAATAAAGGCATATTTTATTGGCCTTGGATGCTCGCAGGGTAGGCTAAAGCCATGTCCTTCACCAAGATCTCAGGTCGAATTCGCCAGCGTTCTGAGTCTACAGTGATGTCAACAAATGAAGCTGTCGCTATCGATGAGAATACTTTAGAGATATTAAACTCAAATGTTAATGATCTGAAGGCAAGATTATGTGAGGAGCGGATCCAAACTGGAATCACGTCTACTGGGTTAAAGACATAGCTTTGGGCATCAGACGAGTACGAAAGCCCTGTAGTGCCATCAAGTATATCTTTTCAAAAAGTTGAAATATATTTCTTTGAAGTGCGTTTTTAGGAGATATATTTTTTTGTCTCTGTTTTTACGAGATACCTTTTTCCAAATTCGTTTGTTCGAGACACACATTCTCCTGAGATCTATATTTAAAAACACTGTTTCTACTTTTGGTGACAAATCGTTTTACTGGAAATATTTTTGATGAAATTTTTATTTCTAAGATAATATTTTTCCCAAGTTAATTTTCAGGAGATATACATGGCACGTTGGGATTTATTCCTCACAAAATCAAACTTCAAACAAATCTAACTCTATATTAAAAAACAAACTTCCAAAAACGTTTCTATTTATAGATCTTATGGGAACGACCTGGAAAATGTATGTCTTAAACCAACGAACTAATCCTACGCAGCTATCACAACACCAGAAAATAACAAACGCAAATTACTAAACACTAAATTAAAATACAACCCTATTTAACATCAATGAGTCAAAATGTCAATTTTGAACGAATTGAGGGTAAAATTGCAAATCAGCCAAAAGGTGATAATACTGCAAACTTTGGCCGCCCATACAAGTTGTAGCAAAATAAGCCTGGTCTATACTGTTTGACACGATAACCCTCTCACCCACTTGAGTCGTTTGGAGATGAATGCATGGATTGGTAGAAATTATAGTAGGCTATGTAGAATAGACAACGTGAACCAGTAGTCATGCTTTGTTTTGAAAATCTATCTGTAAAAAACATCTGCAGCCTAGCAGGTGGTGGCTGGTCATTATTCATGTCTCTCTTCTCATCAAAATGTTCACTGAATCGCATCTGATTTGTGTGGTTAGGTTACCCGAGCACCATGCACTGTTAGAAATTCAGCAGTTAAACGCCTGTCTCGTTCTGGCGCCAACACGGATGCGAACGACACGTTAACCAAATCTTTGATTATACCCCATGGAAACCGAGGAGGAATCTAGGATTGCAGTGACAAATCGTCATGAGCTATACCGTGTTAGAAGATAAAACACACACCTTTTCTTTCTGGATGGCCACACAGCTTTAAATCGAATATTGGCAGATGGCCAAATTCCAGGTCATTAGCCATCTCCCCAAATAAAAACCACAACCTGTAATGTTCATCGTCAGTCGATCAACTGTTGTGACAAGGGATGACGTGTTTGGGATTCTATAGGAACAATCCTGTTATGCTTGGATGCTCAAAATTGACATGTTCTGCTACAATAAAGCAAAACAAATACACACAAAAATATACACCAGAATTCTACATAAAGGGTTTGTTTATATAGTACAAATGTTGACTGATTCCATTCGTGCAGTAAAAAACAACAGCCTCTTGAGGTGATCCATGGAGCATTCTATTTTCCCGAGGGGATACCTCAGGAAAGAGGAATACTCCACGGGTCATCGAAGGAGCTATAGTTGTACTAAACGACGGGATAAAGAAGTATTTGTTTTATAACACCTCTACCATAGATTCTTCTTGATTTGAATGATAAGCACTAAACGAAATAAATATGAAAGGTACGTCTGTTTGAATCAGAAATTTGTTGAAAGTTTACCAACAATTTTTCCAAAACTATTCAGGAAATGTTTGAACCCATCTCTGTTGCGCTAGCACTTACGAATGCGTGCAGCGCTCACACCAGCGCGCATATGCAGCACACATTGTTAGTGGTAATGCAAAGGCCTGTAGTACTCAATTCGTTTGCGTCTTGCGTAGTTCTTTCCA